TTTTAATGCAGTTTTCACTATTGTATTTATTTATTTATTTATTACAAACAAGTCTTAAAAGCCTAACAGATGTTTCCATCCAAAACGCTTGCAAGATTAGATTATTAAAATAAAAAAAATTAAATAGAGAACATGCAATAAGACAATAATAACACTTAAATTATAATGATCAAATATTATTAACAATGTCAAAAAATATAGGTCAAATCAAATTACAATAACAATCTAATAATAGAATTAAATGTCAGCAATACAAAAATATGAAAAATTAAATTTCATTGTCAATCTACAAACTAATAATTGAATTTCTATAGGTACAAATAATCAATATTAACAAAAAAATAAATAATTATGTCAATTTTAATAGTACAAGAATATATATCAGGATTAAGTAAAATTGTCATTTAGGAATTTCCGAAATTGATTATATAAATAATTAAAATTATCGGCAAATATATCCAGTTCATAGTGCTGAGCAAGTATGTCCCCGATAACACGTATTGCACGTTTAGTGGGCGCATGTCGACCGCGCTCCGTGCGCGCGGCCGGCAGTGCCAATAACCGTGGTTGGCGTCTAGGTGCAACTAAACCCGCGGAGTTCCAAGAGATTTTTGTAGGAATTAACAAACAAAACTGTTCTAGAATGTTTGAGTTGTAAATTCTTCGGTGCAGAATCGAAAGATATAGGACTATCAGAAACATAGCCCTTCTCAGCTTCAATGTGTCCATTTCTACCATACCCAATACGAATAGGCTCGGGTAAAGATAGGGGTAGTATCCGTAGCTTTTGTAATAAAGCCATCGAGCAAATTTGCGTTGTATTTTTTCTAACATGAGAATATATTTTTCCTCATATGGATCCCACACAACTGCTCCATATTCAAGCTTGCTACGCACATATGCAGCAAATAAAACTTTACTAACTGCCACGCTATTAAATTGTGACGCCGTTCTTATAACAAAACCTAAGGTCCTAAGTGCAGCCTTACAGATATTAATTATGTGTGTATGAAAGTCCAATTTGCAATCTAATAATAATCCTAAATCCTTGATGTCAAATATTCTTTCCATAGGAGCGTCAAATAAATTGTAATTGTACATTTTGGGTTTTAATTTACGGGTGAAAGTGATCACTTTGCATTTATTTTTATTTAAAGGGAGGTTATTATCGTGACTCCATTGACATAGGGCATTTATATCCCTCTGCAAAGTCTCTGCGTCTGCTTCTGTCTCAACGCCTAGACTGAGTTTTAAGTCATCAGCGAACAAAAGACACTTAGCGGTGGACACTATTTCTGTTACATCATTGATAAAAATCAGAAAAAGTAGAGGTCCTAATGTACTACCCTGACTCACCCCGGATCTAGTAAAGTAATTACCGGACTCATATCCATTCAAACGCACATATTGACAACGACCACTTATGTATTGCGGTAACCTTCCGTTAACATTTAGTGCAAGTTTTATTTCAATCGGTTCTTACATAAAAAAGTTATATCAGTTTGAAGTACTGTGTTCGCCAACATTGCTATGAAATTAATTGCTTTATGAAATTTTCATCTCTAATATATTGTTTATCATCGTCAGCCCTTTTACATCCCCATACTATGGGGTTCAGGCTTCTGTTTAATATTTTTTGGTCACCCATCCCGTGAACAACCCAAAAAAATACTTTTCAATATTTTGGATATTGCAATGTAAGTTAATTTCAATTATATATGACCAATCATATTACATTAAAAATTTGATTGATCGTTATATAGGTATTACGAGTATAAGCTGAAGCTTATAATGGATATGTAGTATACGATCACGCGAGTAGGAGATCAAGCGAAGAGCGTTGCGCTGCTGCAATTAAACATCGAGTAGTTTACAGTGAACGCACGTATAAGATTTTTTATAGTAAATTCTTATCAGGTTAGGTTTACGTCTTCGAGGCTAGCGGAGGTGGTTGGCAGCCACCTCCGCATTGCTGGGTCTCACCTGTCTGGGAGAGGCTCTCGATGGACCCTAGCCTCTCCATCTGCGATGTAACCAATGGTCTGTTAAAAATCTGTAGGTGAAAGATTTTTAAAATCAGTTCAGTGGTGGTGTAATTTTTCCTCTTTTTAAGATTAGAGGTTAGCGCATTCGGTTTACGATGCGGTTAAGTATGTACCTACTAAAGACAAATTTAGCGCTAGCCAGCGACTTTTTTCAGACAACCTAGCATTGGGTGGAAGAACATAATAAAAAAAATTAGATTACGCATACAACTAGACAGATAATTAACATTTTAAATATATCAAAATCAAAAGAAAGACAGTTGAAACAGCGCAAGTTTCACTAATACGAGTATACCTATACTCTATTCATTATAACATTAGAAAAAAGAGGATCACAGAAGCAGCAGTGCAGAACATTTTATTTTCAAGATAAATTTAAAAAATATATATAATAGTTTTGGTGAAACTTTGAACTTTAGGTAGTCCTAAAGAGTTGGGCAATTTTCCATTTTCTTTTGCGATGACGCTAGAATTTTCTAAATTCATCTTTTACTCCCAAGCCAATATGGAACTATAACTATCTATCTGTTGTTTTGATTAATTCTAATTGTAAATGTATAATTAGAATAGAATATGGTTATATTTATCCCCTGGAAAGAAAAGTAAACAAAATGAAATTTTTATTATTACTTTTATAACATTTATTCAGATATTATTAGATTATTGATAAAGATATTGGAAATACTTCCTGAAATGTCAGAGGTAATTGTTATAGGCCATTCGGACCTGCGCCGGAATCGTCCATACTTAGCAAAACTTGACATCAAAAAGATAACAACTAAAACAAAACTATAAGAAAACAACAATAATACATTTACAACTCAATCACGGAATACGGTAAAACAACAAGAAAGGCAATAACATTCACAATTAATGAGAATCCCAGATTACGTATTTTGATTATTATGAATACATGATAATCTGACAAAATTAAAAAGCTGTACTACTGAAACGTTTGAAGGGATTAGGCAACATTTTAAATTTGGTAGCGTTATAGTGACATGAGAATCATGCCGAGACTATCCAACCCTGCTTCTCTAGGTTCTTTAAGATGAACACTTTTTATTATAAGAGTTATTATATCTTTTAAGTTAGCCAAATACTCAAAATTTTGTTTAACTGATAGCTTAAACGACAAATATTGAGTATAACAGCTGGTATTTAAGTGGATATGTAGCAAATAAGCCGTCAGTCTTAAGAGTAACATGATTGTTAATATTTTGTCACAAAGTATACCATAAAAAGAACCTTATTTAACTTCTGTCTAATGCTATAATGAATGGAGTATAATGTATGATAAAAATGGTCAGACACAAGAGTAGAGAGAGAAGTGAGAAAAACTATCTTAAGGACCGTTCATAGGGTGGATGACCAAACCATTATTTTCTTGAGCTCCTCCGTACTTCGGAATGCAAGTTAAACCGTTGGTCCCGGCTGCATTAGCAGTCGCTAACACCCACCAATTTGCAATGGGCCCGCGTAGTGCGTTACGGACCATTTATCCTACTCGATTCGACCATAGGAAAGAAACAATTCTCCTGCATATGCCGTAATGAAAATACGTAGGTTAATTAACATAGATAATGCCAGATTAGTATACTTTAGTTACTTTCATAGTGTAATGTCGTACGGAATCCTATTGTAGGAAATGCTGCCGACATACAAACAATTTTTGTGCTTCAGAAAAGAGCAATTCGATCAATTTATAATCTTAGGATTAGGGACTCTTTAAGGGAGAAATTTAAGGAAACAGACATTATGACTGTTGCTTCTCAATACATATACGAGAACTTAATGTATGTTCGTAAAAATATTAGTTTGTTTTCTATTAAAAGTGATGTACACAATTTTAATACAATAAATAAAAATAAATTAACGGTGCCTGTCACTAGACTGCAAAAAGTTAATAACTCATTCAAGGGTCTTTGTGTGCGGTTCTACAATAAGGTCCCAAGCAAAATACATCAATTAGATATAATGCAGTTTGAATCTACTATTAAAAAAATACTTATTAAAAAAGCTTATCATAAGGTATCCGATTATATAACAGATAAGAAAGCTTGGACTTGAGATGATCCAGCAACTGGATATGTAATTACTTCTAAACTCATTATCTTGTTTCCATTATTATTAAATGATTATGTTATCATTATATGACCATAGTTTTTTTTTCTCTCACTCTGTTTATAATGTATTGATCTGGTTTTTGTAAATGTCATTATTTTTATTAGAGCTAGTGAGTTTCTTGCTCGTTCTTCTTATCAGCCAAAAGACGTCCTGAACGAGCGGTAGGGAAACAAAATGTTGGACGATTCAAAAGTACTTTTAAGCTAGTTAAGAAAGTTAAGAATATTTTTCAGTATAACATTGTAAATGCAAAATTGGTTTGACATTGACATTTTGTATTGTTTTAAAAAGGTGTATGATAGCAATATCCAGTATAGACAGCTTTGCTTAGACTCCTTGATCAGTGATTTTAATAGCTTCTTTAACAGGATAACATGAAAATATAATAGAATACTTCCGCTTAAATAACCTCAAAGAAATGAGTATTCCTAGAGATTTTTGAGTATACCGTTCAATACCTTTCAAGAGTTGTCTTTCCTTTAATGAAATCTTTTATAATGGATATCTTACCAGGGTTTTTAATGAAATAATTTTGTAATATCAGCTATATCCTTATTACCAAAATTCATTACATATTTGAGTGCCAAAAGCAGACAAGAAACTTAATAAGAACAATACCACAAAAGAGACACCATTTACGTTTTGAATGGAAAATGTAGAAATATCCTTTTCATATGCCGTTAGAGACGATCCGTCCGCATACGAAGGTATACGCTGGGAATCGGCATAATGCGGACCGGTGTGCTACTTTTCAATCGGTAGCTTCGAGATAGCAGGTTAAAGAGAATATAATACGTTATCTCCAAAAATGATTAAAGCCAGAAATTAAAACAAAGATTTTATTTATAAAAAATAGGAGCGATGCGTAACAATATATCACCGGTCTCGTTGGAGACCCAGAGGTAATCGTCGGGCTGCGGTCGGCGATCGTGGTCGGTTCACATAATACTATGCCGTAGTCCCGCGCCGGTCGGGGCAGGCTCACTTCACGAACCGGAGCCCCAGCGCCTGCGTCATGAAGCACAGGATGTCCGTGTGCTCCTCGATCTGAAACACGGACCAGAGGCTATAGCCGACAGCGGGGGATAATCACACAGGGGTTGGGGTGAAAGATCTTAATGAAGATTTAAGTAACGTAGCCATGTGGTCCAAAAATAATAGCATAGTTCTCAATCCCTCAAACACAAAATATTTGTTACTTGGTACTTGGAAGGCACTGCACCAGTTACCGGACACATTTGATGTCAAATTGATGAGTGAACCTATCCAGATGGTGAACGCTGCTCGTAATCTGGGGCTACATTTTGATGCATCCTTGCGGTATGAGGGTCACATTGCTAGCACCGTGCAAAACTGTTTTTATAGACTTAAAGTACTTTATAGAATCAGACCCTTCATACCACACGAGGTGCGTGTGCGATTGGTTGAGTCTCTGGTATTGGCTAAACTTAATTATGCAGATATTGTATACGGACCTCGTCCTCGTTTATACAAGGATTGCAAAACGCTTGCGCTTGCTTTAACTTTACAATACCGCGTAGAAATCATGTCACACCGTTCCTAAATGAACATAACATTCTAAAAAAGAAATCTAGACGCAAAATGCATCTCGCTACTCTGCCTGTGGCAACATAAAATCTGGACAACCCTTATATCTTCATAGTAGACTTGTCTGGGTCAGTGGTCAGAGGGAACATAACAGAAGGCAACATGCTACACAACTAGCAACCGCGTCACATAGAACTGCATCGTTCAGGGGTAGTTATCTCTACGCAGCTTCTAAATTATAGAATAACATTCCCCCGCCTACGAGAAACTGTTATACTTTCTTTACCTTAAAAAAAACACTTACGTCGTTATCTAATGAATGCGCAACAAAAATCTGGGTAACATCAACATGGATGTTTTTTACATATAGGATACTGAGCAATATTGGGCGAGCACATAGTGTGGGCTGAATGGCGTGATGTTGGGTGATCTGCTCAATTATGATCAATTATGGTAGGAGGCTTCAAACATCAAATTATGTGAAATCAAACAAAAAAAAAAGAATCTTTTCAATGTAATTACAATGTTTTTTAATATATTAAATCCTATTTTATTAAATATATTAATGTTATATTGATAAATAAATAACTAATTACAACTGCGACTGTGGATGCTCTTAGTGACACAGTAGCATTGCATGTTATCACACTATTGGTAGCCGTTTTGGTGTCCGTGGGTCAAAAGAAGGGTGATAGTTGAAAATCAGCGTCAGCCCTGGCTGATTAATGCTGAACTAGTCGCCCTTTTTAGTGCAGTTATGAGACCTCAACTTTGTATTTTCCTTTTTTACTGTTAATTATATGTACCGTGTCTTGTGCCTGTATTAAAATAAATAATTTGAATTCTAAATGTCTAAAAAAAAGATTCCTGAGTTTTCCGTGACTTTCCCTGACCAATAATGTCTTTTGAAATAACACATTCTAAAAGTTAAATGTTTCATGATCTACCCGATGAATACGCATTCACGCACGTAATACACAGAAACATAGGTACACACTTAATTTTTTAAAAAGGCCCGTGCGGACCCGCTCGTATGCGCCACTGTAACTACCACTTAGGGCGCTTGTGCACTACACTGAATTTTCAGGTCCGGCGGTCCGATTTTTTCCGGTCCGGAATGACATGAAAAACTCGGATGAGTAGCTTGTGCACTTGTCCGTTTTTTTTCTGATCGGAGCGGCGCAGTGTAGGGCAGCTTTCTTTGAAGCTATACGTCACTTACGCTATGTACGATGAGATTTTTGGAACGTCGGTAATTCCGTTCGAAGACGTAGAAAGGTACCTAAATAATGATCTGATCGTTTTACATAAACCATAATAAATTATGGCAAGACGAATGAAGCATTTTTTTTACTACTATCAGATGTAAAAACTTATACCCTTACTAATTTAGGAACAGCATTATTTACATACAATAGCTAAAAATATAAATTAATAAACACGCTATTTTTTTTTTTCGAAGTTTTGTAAAAACAACTTTCAGCAATTACATAGATAGACCAATCAGTGGCGCCATTTCGTAAACAAATCGAAATTAGTGCCGTACAGGCGGAAAATTATTATGCTAAATGAACTTTACGAGATCAGTTGACTGTATTCTATATAGGCATAATTTTATACGCGTGGTGTAGTTTCTTTGGGTAGTAATATTATTCCCTTAGAATACTAATTTTTTTTATTTATTAATGACACAAACATACATTTAAAATTTTATTAAATGCGAAAAAGACATTGAGTGTCACTTGATTACTTCTGTTAATCTTCTGTTTATTCTTTATTATTACTTCTGTTGTCAAATATTTATCTATACTTATCAATTGTCTAAAAAAAATTTGATAATGACAAATTTCCAGGCAAACTTTCATCCCCTATTTTTGGCGATAAAATGTAGCCTATGTCCTTTCTTAAAGTTAAGTCTATTTACTACATGAATTTCCATTTAGATGAGTTCAGTTGTTTAGGCGTCTAAGCGTAACAACACTTATTTATCTTACCTTAAGCTATCGATACTTTTAATACGATTCTAAAATCTAGCTAAGTATCGATACTAGAACCATACGCTGATCAAATTAGAACTATACCGAGTTTGCCAAAGCATATGCAGTGATATATACCAACTATATTAAATCATCATATAAAATATAGCATTTTATAATCAACAATAAATATCGATTATAGGTTTATTGGAAATTAACAATATTGCCGAAATAAATATCGATTCAAATCGATTATTTTTTCCCAAGCCTATTCCTTATGAATTTTCCGGATCTCGGACACAGCAGTGCACAAGCGTAAACACGTTTTTCATTGCCGCCATCACGGACCTGAAAAAACCGGTCCGGAATAGAGAAAAGTAAAGTTCCGGACGGTAAAATTCCTGACAGTGCACAAGCGCGCATTACCTACATAAGGCCTGACATATCGGACCGCCGGACATGAAAATTCAGTGTAGTGCACAAGCGCCCTTACTGTTTCGATTTGGACATCAAATTACAGTTTTTTCAGTACCCTTTGCTTCTTTTAATAGTAGTTTCGTTTCAAAACCAATGTGGATATTTTCAGAAGACAAGAAATTTTTGTAGCAAAAGTACAAAAGCGTGAAGTTATATGACATTTCAACTCAATGCACCGCCGTAATTTATGGAATTGGCAAATAAAAAAAAAGGTTTCATGCGGCCGATGCGGACGGGTAGATTTCATCACTAACTTCACATCGAACGAACGTAAACAAATGCGCGTACGTACGATCTTGGCGGTGGGCTTGCCGCTGCCATGGCCGGCCTTGGTGTCCACGCGCGCCAGCAGCGGCGGCTGCCGGGGCGGCTCGGGCTGCCCGGGCTGTACTGCCGGGGCGGGCCGGGCGGCGGCGGCGCGGTGCTGCAGCGCGGCGATGTACTTGAGCGAGTGCAGCGGCACCACGCGGTCGTCGTGGTCGGCCGTCAGCACCAGCGTCGCCGGGTACCGGAACCCGCCCCCCTCTGTGCCACGACAACGGCCGGTTACAACTCGACTCGCCGAGAATCGTCGAACGACGGAGCCCGATCGCGGGCGCGGGGCGTACCTTCAGCGGGCGCGGGCGCGGGCAGGTTGTGGAGGGGCGAGTACCGCAGCAGGTAGTGGAACTGCGCCTCGTCGTCGGAGCTGCCGTAGTCGGAGACCCACGCGTGCCCGATGGTGAACTTCTGGAACCGCAGCATGTCCAGCACGCTGCGCGGACACTCGTATTATCAACTCCGCTGCCGTCCGGTCGCTCATATGTGCAATCACACCCGCCTCAGCTTCGACTCGTGTGACATTTCAAGCCGACGAGCGCGAATTTCAATCGGAACGCGACGCGTCCCGGCCCTCCGAAGGGGCCGCCCGCGTTTCGCTTCTCGTTTTTCACAAATATAATGAAATATATTTATTTAATAAAATCAGGCGTAATTTTGCGGAATATCTAGCAACTCCCACGTACTGCTCGCACACAAATTCACATATGCAAACGGCAGGAAATCGTTGGATATTGTTCGGGGCTGAGTAGTCGTAGTGATGGGGAAGACCAAGTAAAAATTATATTTGTATTAAAATCACTTTACTAAGTATTTACCAAAGTTTATAATGATTACTGAGTCTATTAGAGAGAACATTCAACCGGTAACGGGGATCGAAATGTTCTACTGAAAAAACATATGTAACTAAAGTCTGGGGGGGCCTACTTTCGGCCACGAGCCGCGCTTATTTACCTAAACTACGTAAAATGCATATAATGCAGGTATCAGTCATAAACCGAACAGATATCTCAGTTCCACAATTATTATATTCTTCAATTATATTCTTCATTAAATCAATATTACGTAGGACTGTCACGGAGCTAACTATTATAGAAAAAGAGGAGCACCCACCCGACCTGCACGATGGCGGCCCCGTAGAGGTCGGGCCGTTGGTTGCAGCAGGCGGCCACCAGCAGCCCCCCGTTGGAGCCCCCCTGGATGGTGAGGAGGGGGGCGCGCGTGTACCCCTCCCGCAGCAGGTACTCGGCCGCCGCCTGGAAGTCGTCGAACACGTTCTGCTTGTTCAGCAGCCGCCCGGCGTTGTGCCACCGCTCCCCGTACTCCCTGCCACAGAGCACCGGACGCGGTCACTCACTGTACCTAGTGGCACCACGTGCGAGAGTGCGCTTGCGCTGGATAAAGTCTTAACCCTTAAAATAATATACGTTAAAATTCTAGTGTAAGACCACTTTCTTTCCAGCAGGTATGGAATATTTTCTTCGCTTGTGAACCCCCTGGAGGGAGTGAAATACTAATATCATTGTACCACGAGGAGTGCTCCGTGAACTGGCGGACTCGGGCCTTGGGCCCTGACGTATCTCCGACGTTAAAAGCGGAGTGGATATCGTGTATCGCGTTCTCACCCTCCGCCCCGTATGTTGGGGATGGCGACGACCCCGTTGAAGTGTTGCATGAACACGAGCCTGGTGACGCTGAAGCTGGGCTGCACGTTGATGTTGAACCCGCCGTACCCGTACACCAGCGCCGGCGCACACCCATCCCGCGGCAGGCCCTGCACACCACACACCGCGCACTGTAGCCGCCGCATTAGGGCTGGCCGCCGATTAAATCAAATCGAATCAAAATTTATTTATTCTGTTTAGGCTTTAACAGAGCACTTGTGATAGTCGAAAACTACGCCATCGGTTCGCAAAACTACGGCGGGAGACCTTGCACTGAGAAGAACCGGCAAGAAACTCAGCAAGGGCTGTTTTTTTCTCCCTGTTTTATTTCACACAGAGAAGTCTTAATGAAAAGTGACTTCATTATAATATGAAGTCACTTTCCATTACAATATTAGAAAGTAAATACAATAAAGTTAAAATATCTAACACAATGCCTTTTTATCATTTAGATATTCCTTAACGGTATAATATCCTTTACTTTGTAGACAATTTTTAATATGACTTTTAAAATGATTTATTGGCAACACATCACTGGGGATCTTAATTAAAGTATTGTATACCTTGACCCATATCCAACCGTCAATATTCCAATTTCTTTAAATTTCTCTCTAAGATATATTCACGAGCCCAATTGATAGATAGCTCTTATTGCCCTTTTTTGTAAAACAAATATAGATTGAATATAGGCTGCGGTTCCTCACAATATAATGCTGTGAAAATAACTAAAGTACACTGTCCGGGCAGTTTCCATATCGGTAATTTGTCTTATTTTTCGTATGGCATATGCAGCCGAGCTGAGTTTACCAGCTAATATAAAAATATGCGGGTTCCATTGCAGTTTTGAATCTAGTGTTATGTCCAAAAATTTTGTTGAACTCACTAACTCTAAATGTTCGTTGTTGAGTTTAATTTCAGTTGGTTCTACTTTTACATTAGCTAAGTGAATTTTATAAATTTGTTTTTTTTTTAAGCAATCAATTGAAGATTATTAACTGTGAACCAAGATAACATGATCTCACATGGGTTTTTAACAAAAAACGGTAAATCATTTAATTTCTATTAAAAATAGAAATGGGCCTAAGATAGAACCTTGGGGAACGCCTATTTTTACACGAGATCCCGAGGACTTCGCACCGTTTATATCTACTGTTTGTGTTCTGGAACTAAGATACGACAGCATTAGTTTTTGAGCAGCACCTTTGATACCGTAGTAATTCAGTTTACGCAAGCAAATCGGTAAAAAAAATATAACAACCTTATATCTTTGTAACAGTGACTAAAAATAATCAATATTTTTAGCGACGAATGGCATATCGTATGCGTGTACCTTCTTGGAGACTATGAACATGGGGATCTCGGTGCCGTCCTTGCTGCTGTAGAATATCTGCTCGACCTCGTACTGCGACGCGTCGAAACCCTTCACCTCCACCTCCCTGAACACCTGGTTCGAGGAACGCTTTCGTTATATCAGAGTAGTAAAATTACAAATCGACAACCGGGAGGGGCGGACCGACCGTGGGCTCGTAGGACGGGTCCGCGAGGTCGACGTGGTAGATGATGCCCGGCGTGAGGAAGGAGGTGAGCTGGTAGAATATCTCGGTCTGGTTCTTCCTGCCCGAGAAGCCCCCCACCGCGCCCTTGTCCAGCGGCAACTCGCGCAGCAGCGCCCCGTCCCGCGCGCGGTGCAGCTGCAGCACGCTCTGCACCAACCAACAGCGGCACACAACAATACTATGAGCATCAGTACTTTACAGACCGACAGCGATGAAGCCGCACGCACCTTCACGTCCCGCACGTAGTGCAGCACGAGCTTGTCCCCGCCCACGGCCGCGGCCCAGCGCAGCACGTCCCGCTCGTGCTCCTGCGCACGACCATTATATATGCATTATTTTACACATCCTCCTGGGCTGAATTCCAATTCCACGGTTCAAATATAGACTATTCACCGATATTAAGTATGGCCCGGTGCAAATGCACACGCAACTATCGGAACGTGGCGCACCTCAAACGTACATTATAGCGGTCTATGAAGAAATGAAGTCATAGAAATTACGTTTTTATTTTAAAATTAACATTACATATGACGTGTTCCCCCCGCGGGCTAATTGAAAGTGTCGAGAAGTTTCGTAGTGTTTCGTCTTTTTACTCCGACCGAAGGTCACACGGGAACGACGCGAACAGAGGCGAGGGCAATCGAATGAGGATCATATTTAAGTACCGGCACTAGCGTCGTCCAGTTTTCCTCGGCGGGGTTTTCGAGGTCGATCTGAATCAGTCTGTAGTTGGACGCGTTCTTGTTCGTGCGGAATATGCACACGGAGCCCTCGTTAGTCACGTACTGAAACACGACAACGCACACACATATTATCATTATAACAATCTATTCACGAAAACATTAAATGTTATAATAAAGAAATTGCAGGACGGGAGGGGGCACGGTCACCTCGTAGTCGGCCTCGAAGTTGTGCACGATCTGCGTGAGCGGCAGGTGCGGCGTGTGGGGCGGATGTCGCGTGAGGTCGGCGTAGTACAGGAGGTTGTCGCGGCAGTCCCGCACGGGGGACACGATCAGGTACCGCCCGCAGTCGGACACCTCCGCGCCGCTACACACACACACACACACACATCATATATTATATCACCGATGCTAACAAACTCACAGCTAAACTCGACACACTAGTTACTTCTACTGGATAATAAGGGTGTAGACGATTTCTTATAATTTTATTTTATATATCTAAAAATATATAAAAAAAAGTATTATTCATATAATAAATAAAATGTTAAAATAAAATTAATTTTCAAAATATCCCGCGAAAATTGCATCTTCTGTCATGGCGTCGCTATGACGTCACGCACCTCTAAAACTAATATCGTTCTACGTATGCATAAGGTTTAATTCTCTGAGTTATAAATAAGAGCGTGACGGCGTGACGTCCCGCGTCGTCGCCAATTTTTTTTTTCAGGCAATATTATAAATATAATAAGCACACAAGTGAGATTATATTAAACACTGCCTGAAAAAAAAAAAAAAATATTTTCGTTCACTGTCTACACCCATATTACTGTACCACGGGTAGTATTCATTAGAAAAGTACTGCTATAGTCTAATGCCGATGATCTGTTACCCGACTATATAAATGTTTGATACGTAGATATATTTAAGCTACGTGTACATCGATCGCGACCACTACCGATATGAATACCACATACGCGCCCTTGTCCAGCCCCTCGACTCGCGTGCGGAACGCTCTGCAGATCGACAATTTCATATTTTTAATGTTCAAGATGCGTGTAAAGAACAATTTTTAACAGACTTCAAAATCCCAAAAGGAGAAGGTTATACGTTCGATGTATGTGCACCGATATTTCTGCCAATTGTTGACCGAATTTCAAAACTATTTTGTCGGTTTCGTTCATTCCGTTAAAATTTTACCGAAATCGAACAGTAGTTTTTCTTTTGTAACAAAACAAAATTCGCTTTTCACCATATACTTAGACGACATATATTTTATAATAATGAGCATAGAATTATTGGAAAAAGTAACGTCGAGCAAATAAACAAAATCTTCTTTTCGAAGTTTATGAATCTACTGGGCAGATTTTAAAAATTCTTTCACCTGCGGGGTAGCTACGTCGTATACGATGAATCGATATCCAAATAAACGGTTCCTTACGGAGCACGCGGGCGAAGCCTAGTATAGAAACTTTAAGAGTCGAATAATAATACTTATCTCAGAAGCGACTCATTCGAGAGAACGCTACTGAAGTAAACCTACGGAGTGAATAGTTTAGGTTGCGCACTGACATCCTCCAGAGCGGCTCGTCGACGAACTCGACGGCGAGCACGTCTTGCTCCTGCGGCGTGCCCAGGCGGTGGTAGCACAGCTTCTGGTCGCGGTTGAGCGCCGTCTCGGAGCCGTCCGCGCGCCCGCCCGCCGCCGGGTAGCGCTGCGCACGTCCAAACATTGCGGTATACAGGTTATTCATTCTTAGCGAATCAGTTGTACGAAATATGTTATTGCGTACTTTTTATGGAAAAATATTTCACCTGTCTAGCATAGATTATGCTGTGTATATGTCACCGGAAAATAACAAGAGCCGCAAGTTAATTAATTTCCTAGGTACTTTATAAACTTTCGTAGAATTTTGAACGAGACATGAATTGTATTAGCCTGCGTCCACTTTTTTGCAGATTAATAAGTAGGCAATAACCAAACGCCATGTGTGCCCTGATCGGTTGAATAAGTCACGTGTCAGGTACTGGTCCCTCCCTTCCGCCGCCGTTGTTCGCTTTCGTAAAAAAGTAACCCTGTATTATAGGTACCTACCTACTTTTAAAGTAAAAATACTATTAGATAGGTAATCGAAAATGTTAATTGCTCACTCACTACTCCCGTGGCAGAGCAGGACCAGGCATCGCACCTACAAATTATAGTTTGCTATGGACAGTACCAAGTCTATGGGCGCAAGCGTTGTCGCTGTCAACATTGACTATAAGCGTTAAATTAAAAGCTCTTCTGTGATTGGTCGAACTGTTGCGAATATTACGTCGCAAATCAATAAATTTGAGGCAATGTGAGCGTAAAATAATACAATTTATCTCTCATATAGAATCCGGATATAGATCCGCGGATCTCGTTATTTTCCGGTGACCTCCGTAGCAGAGTGTCTCGCACGCCGGTTTCAAGGTGTCGCCATCTCTGAGATCCCGGGTTCGATTCCCGGTCGGGTCAATGTAGAAAATGAACTTTTCTATATTGACTCGGGTCTGGGTGTTGTGGTACCTTCGTTGTCTCAGATACTCCACAATACGGGGGCTTTAGCTACTCATCTCGGAATCTGAGCAATGTATGTGATGTTGTTAAATATTTATTTATTTATATACATACTTAGGTTTATTATCGAGTTAAAAAACTATTATGTTCGTAAGTATGTAAAGTAATGATTGTAATCTGTTCTGTACGCTCTATTAAATAAATAAATATAAGTAAATTCTATTCTGTCAGGTTATCCTCTCGTTAGTAGCATTTTTATTCAGCTCGCAGACTATCCGTCCGCTTCACAAATAATCGCCTCGAAGCGACAAACGCAGGGCGATATTTGCTTCGGAGCGTCGCCGAGGCACGCGTCTGTGCCATACTAGTTATACTATGTTATTACTCACAGTGTAGAATAGCCCCTTGTTGTCTTTGGTCCACGACATGGACGCGAATTTGACTTTCTCTAAAACTTCTGGATAATCTTCACCTGGAATAAAAAACCCAAACATTAAAGTTTTTATAACACTATGGGTGTAGCTAGAGTTGCATATAAAATCTCACGATATATACATATATTATTTAAAATAATAGTAGGTTAGTCTAAATAATGACTGTACAGTAGGAAATTCAATATTATATTCAGCGATCTAGTTCCTCGATCACGGAGGTCGTTAAAAGTGGAAGTATATAATATACATAAGGGGACACGATCATATAATGAAAGATAGTTGTTCCGCATTCATTTTCAGTGTAGAGCGTGTCGCGCTGCGGTGGGGCGGGCACTGGAATGCGACCTCCTCGCACACACACACACACCATACAGCGACACATTCACTGACAATAGATAAAGTTCGTTGAACAATCGTGTTATCATTTGACGCTTTCATTTTACAAAACACATTGGCTTCAAGTTGTTCAGAGCGTTCGATTCGATTTATCTCAACGAATCTTTGCTAACATGCATCGAAACTACAAAATTTGTTGAGATTTTTGCTCACCGAACTCACTATACCATATATTTATAATATGTTTGAGAAGTGAGCAAAGAAGTTATGGAACATGTCACTATGAGATATCGCTACCTAATGCTGAATATGTATTTAAAATATCTAAAATTTAAAACCGAAGAAGTATAATTATCTTAGGATGTAATTATCATCTCTCGGTGAAGTCGGACCCATCACGTAACGGTCGGTCGATTTGGCAGTGAAGATAGAAAAAGCACCTGTGGCGACATCCTTGAAGTGTATGGTGATCCAGTCGGAGCCGGAGGCGGCCAGCCCGTAGGCGTAGGTGGCGCCGTCGTCGGTGAAGTGTCCGCCGGACAGCGCCACGGTGCCGTCGGGCGACAGCGCGTTGGGGTCCAGGAACACGCGCGCGGCGCCGCGCAGGCTGTCCTGCACGTACAGCACGCTGCCGACACACGCCGTACACACACACTGCTCCACACAACACTACACACTACACACTACATCGATTGACTACTAATTTTCAGGCGAAAGATCGATAGGCGCCGTCTCGACGTGTCTTTTTGTTAAAACACTGACAGGCGTCGATCTTGTTCGACGTCGACGTCGGCTGGACGATTTCACGATACCTATCTGTTGCATTTCACCATGGTTCTGTGCGGAATTACATTCGAAGCTATACCTATAGGTACCTACTACTCACATCAGCCGAAACGTGTAATGAGATAATATGCATAATTAAAAAATACAGCGGCAACATTTGCTGTAGTGTTAACAATAAACGAGATTTATGAACATGATATGATATGTAACGTGGGATAAAGGGCAGAAGGATGATGTATCAGTGGAGCGGTCCCCGACCTTCGATTAGCATTCCTTATCCAAGGAACGAGCCCATACACTCTTGACATTGACATCATTTTCTTTGGTTGCAGTAGGTAATTTAACCGAAATACTGTAGGTGTAATAGACGTTATTAATAAACGAAAGCTTATCACTCGACATCCTGAACTGATTGATGTTTTTATAATAGATCACATAAAGTTTCCTTAAAAAAAATAATTTGGGAATACTTAAGACCAACTCATGACGTGAACGAGACTATAAATAATCGATATTATTTTTAAGAAATTAAATGAAACAAAAATCAACCTTACAATCGTTTGGACATCAGACATTCTTGCGTAATAACTACGACCTTAGAAATCGTTACCAATTTTATATGCAGTTATATAATGTGTCTACTCAATAAATAGTCCTAGTGTATATCTCTAGAGAGAACATGTCTGTACGCTGTTCATCTGGAAATGTGGTGTGCATATTTAAAAAAAATGTTATGGAAGAATTAATTAATTAAGGCACTATTTATATGATCGCTGACAAGGTCCTAACAGCGACCGATGAAGACCTGTAAAATCGTATGGTTAAACATTTTTATTTTCTGGTGTTGTCGCCACCGGTGCTGATAAAATAAAAAGTTTAGGTTTTAGATTCGAACCCATTCAAAGATTGTTGTCATTAAACGTATAGTGTGCGCAGGAGTTGATCGAGTAATTATTTTTTTAATTAACACAAAACTACGAATATAACATTCTAATAACCAGTGAAATGTGACCCATGCCAGTGTGACCGAGTGCGGGCGGTACTCACTGTTGGTTCTGCAGGCCGGTGTTTTTGAAAAAGAAATATCTGTCGCCGCGTCGGAAGGGGCACGAGTACTTGGTGTAGTTCCACAGCTCTGTGAGGCGCGAGTTGATCTCGCTCTTGACGGGGCACGCGTCTAGGTACGGCCGCGTGATGTTGTTCTGAGCCTCTATAAATGCCTTCGTCTCCTCAGAGTCGGGGTCCTCGAGCCACCGGTACGGGTCTTTTATCTGACGTCACATAATAACATATCGATGGGTTGCGAACGATTAAACGACGCTATCATTACCAATTTTAATCGAATCACATATAATTGATTAGAGAAATTAGTCGTACTTAATTGACATAGATAATGGTTAGTGTTTACATAATATTTTTGGTAAATACGAGAATCGGATCTTGTGTCCGACAAACTGGCACAAGGTTCACGTGGACTTGTTCAGATTGGAGTGGCAGTTAAAATAAGTGCCAATGAATTATGTTACAATAACAGTGTCCTAGTTACTAGTTCATATTGTTATAATATAAACATTATTATATAATTACTTTTGTGGTCCATATGAACTCGTACACTAATAAAATATAATATAACCACACTAAATAATATCCATATATACAAATATAGCGATCTTGCCAATACAATATTTATAACATTATCTTGGCTTATTAGTTACGCCTTAAAGATAATAACCGGCTGACTCGCGCAATTACGGTTGCATACAAATATTAAATTTTATAAACGAGGTTTTTTTTGTAAAATATAGGCAAAGAGCTACTTTGTTTAAAAAAAAATGTGCAATAATAGTCCGATGTTGGAATAAGGGGCGGGTGAACAGTCAGTTGTTCCATATATTCTTAATAGCATCAATAGTACCTTCTAAAAATAAAAAAATTTCAATTACAAGTCATTTCATTCAGTGTCACCTAATACCGTTTGCAAAACTTATTATTTTCTATACATTTTCTCTTCCTGCTTAGTTTTGATGGAAACTAATGAAGAACCTCCGACTTCTCACAGATGGAAAATAGATAAATGCATGAGTGATCCTATAGTCCACGTGTGACAGATAGATACATAGGAAGTCCACGTGTGACAGACGGATATACACCAATCATCCAATGACGCAGTTGTGACAGATACACGAGAGATCCATATTCTACCTACAATGACGCCTGTTCACTTGGTTAGTGTAACCATAATAAGGTTGAGCGTGATAGTGTTTATTTTCTTATAACTTTGAATTCATTATAATTTACTTAATCGCCACCATTAAACATTATTTTTACACAGTCCATTATATTAGAGATATCCATCAATGGACATTGTTTGTTTAGGAGTTAATTGTTCGTTTCAAGAGCTTATTTAATTTTAGTTGCCATACCTCTAATTAATATCAAAATCTGTTAATTTCTTAAATGAAAATATGACGTAATTATAATATCCATTTAGATATGTAACGGTCACAAATCAAATATAATAATGAAAAATAGGCTTCTGAAAAACTACGTACTGACCTTCCATAACGAGACAAGTTCTATTGAATGAGTTTAACGATTACGTAGTTATAATAAATTAGGGAGATGAAGTTTTTCTTTGAAATAGTTATACGTCAGTGTTATTTACAGGCAGTCGGAGGTTACCTTTATGCCATGGTAATCGTCGACGACGGTCTCGTCCCGCCGCGCCGCCGGGTAATCGAAGCTCATGTTGGTGGGCGAGGTGGAGGTGGATGCGCAGACGCACTGCAACAACAAGTACACTGACACGACTTTAACACATCCGTGCGTACTCATGGCGGGCGGGTGCTCGCCTCGTGCGGACGCCGGCTTATACTGGCCGGCGCGTCGCCCGAGCCGCCTTCTTATATCCGAGCTATCTTGGAAGCCAACACACCACATCTAGACATGAACAATCTCTCTTCGAACACCATCAGACGAATGTCGCGTTTGCAGACGATATATTTGTCTGCTGAGGCATGTAGCATGTCGTTCTCTCTATGGTAGCGGTCTTGCAATAATTTCTGCTGTCAATGACTCAGGTTTGACAGATAATATAAAAGTTTTAATATCCAAAGAGATCCGAACCACCTTCATTTTCACTAAGTTGCATATTTAGGCCTCGGCCGAGAACCCGTACTTTAATCTTTACAACAAACAAAAATAAACTTCTTGACCTCAACTCTTCTTAAGGAGTTGTGCTTGTGTTGCGTTGAAGTTATATATATGTATATAAGCGAGTGCCGCCTGACTGCAAGTGCGATGTGCACGAGACGAGTGAGCGAGTTCCACGAGATGTGCACTGTATAAAAACGACAATTATTTGACTTTGTTAAGAAAAGTCAAATAATTGTCGTTTTTATACTTTTCTCCGGGCTTTTGATTACCTAGATACCCCTTCTTTTATTCTATATATACTTATACTATAGAGTTAAAAGTGTTTAGCTTTGTTTGCTTCTAGTCTCCGAAAATACTGATTCAATTACGCAAATTTATTCACTTTCGGAAAGCTACATGAAATCTAAAGCTATGGAAAGGTGTAATCTATAATTTATGAGGGAAAGCAGCTTGTTAGGAATAAAAACATAATGCATAACCGGTTAAGTTGTTTTGGCATAATGTTGGCATAATTCATCAGTCACTTAATAAATAAATAAATATCGGACAAAATCACACACATTGATTCGATTCCGAGTAAGTAGCTTAGGCACTTTTGTTACGGATATCAGACACAACGGAGGGAATACAAATATATACGTAATATAAATAGAAAACACCCAGACACAGAACATACATAATTGTTAATCACAAAAATGTTTGTCCCGGGTGGGGATCGAACCCACGACTCTCGACGTAATAGTAGGAACGCTACCACCGCGCCATTGAGCCCGTCACCAGAATAATGTATATCACCAATCAATCGGTTTAGTTAGAAATGTGCCTGTAGTGTCGACATCGATAGCGACCACAGAGTTCACTGACCGAGCTGGCGCTGGGAAACTAACGAATATCGATGATTTGATAGATGCACTCGGTACGTGCCCTACAAATATTAATATTGCTATGTTAGTTAGACACCGAATTCGATAAAATAGCGATCGCAAATTATGAAACTGCAGCCCCAGAAGAGAAACTTATGCCGAGCTAGCGACTAGGGTCACCATATCTCAGAATTTCCAGACTCCTCTCGGGATTATTGGACTCTTCTCTGGTTGCGGTCCGATTTTGCAAAGCTCAGGATTTTTTTATTTTTTATTAAATATTGTAGATTTTAAAAATCTCTAGTAAAAAATTATAAAAACTAATCTTAGCGATGTGCAATGAGTGAGAGAGATGCAAGAGAGAACTCAGTATATAAAAACGATATTTGACTTTTTTTAAATTGTTCAGTAGTCATGTTAGAGAAAAATCAAAGTGAAACAAAATCTGTGATTTTTCAATGGAATTTAGGACTTAGGACTTTTCTCCATACTTTTAATTTTTCATAGGATCGATTTTCGTATCATGATATTAAGGGATGATGGAAAATGTTCCTGGGACGATAATGGCCTGGAGTAGTATTTCTAATGAAACTCATAACCTCCTTCCCAAACCTCATTACTCTTCATCAGATCAGATCTTAACTCTAACGACCTTGTCTGGGGCAACTTAAAAAGGTGAATTCAATTCAAGCATGAAATTCAGTTCAGACCACAATGATTGACTTGAAACTTGCAGCAGTAGAGAAGTAGTGCTATATCCTTTAATCAGACATCCAAGACACTATAGACAAACTTTTAAACAGGCTTCGAGAAGTCATGAGGACCAGGTAGGAATCAAGCATTAATAAAAAAAATAGAATGAGTAAAAACAGGGCGAAATTGTGCTTTAAGCATTTATGTATCAAAAATCAATTCTAAAATTATGATATAAAATGAAATCTCTTTTAAATATTTGCTAAAATAACTATTAATGTCATGGCAATATGACCTTGGATGGCGCCTTGCTTGGTTATTTATGAATCAGTGCAATCATAGACTAAGGGCGGCTTGCGCATCGTTGTTAAATACAGTTTAGGAGCGACTTAAACGCATTTAGTCTGCTAATCATAATTAGCGTCTTGCACGACAAAAATTTAGGCACTAATCACGTTTAACGAACTGTCAAAGTTAAATACCCAAAGATGGCTATTTAGCGTCGCTAAATACGTTTAGTAGCAATAACGCGTCATCATTTTGAGGTTATAGAATTTTTACTTTTATTTTATAAAAGATTGTAAAGAGTTAGTTAGGAAGTTTGTAAGATGGATTTGTGAGAATTGTATTCTGACGACGATGAGGAGATTATAAAATATATCAACAGACCGAGGGAATTGTTTGAGAGAGCAGTCTTATTTGGAATGTATTCAAACGACAAATTCTTCAGGTTTCGTCTAACGAAAAAACCACTATAATTTTGTTCCAGAAAATAGCCCCATATTTACATATCACAACAACACAATTTGTGTGACTTGACAACTCGGTTGACTTGATGTGACAATTGAAAGCTCGTCGGTCCAACTCACGCATTTTTTTTTTAAGATATTTTACCATTTTGCTCTAAATGAAGTGTTCAACGGACGAAAACGTAAAAAGGAACGCAAGAAACTGCTTTACCGACTCCCTAACAACGATTAGTTAAATTACCATCCAAACGGACGTGAGCAAGACCTTTTTAATTGTACTTAGGCTAAACATATTTAGCAAGATAAATGCATTTAACTAAATTCTGTTTAGGCCAAATGTTGCGCAAGCCGCCCTAAAAGTCCTATCAATGTATAGACACATGGTCACAGGCAGTCAGCCTGTCAGTCTTGTACAATCTAATATAATGCAACATGAAAGTTTTCTCTGTATGAGTGTAGATATCTTTTGTTTTGTATTTATCATTTACATTTTTTCTGTTTATTGCACCACTCTTGTAAGTTCTCTGTCAACAACTCCCTAGTTGACTGGTAGAGAATGCCTTATGGCATTAAGTCTCAGTTTGTACATCTTTTAATTGTGCAATAAAGGATAAATAAATACTATATTGTAATCATAAAACATGACCATTAACTAAAGCCTTTCTTTTCTTAATAAAATTATTTTCATTCAAATAAGCTCATTTAGACATCCTGTTACATATACTTGTAGTCAAACAACTCTTAATAATAACAACATTTTACTTGAAGATGGTTTGAAAAAAAATTCTCTTAGAAAAATAATTTATATGGAACTTTAAATAGAATACTATTTAATTACATACAGACTAGTACTATTCTCACATGATGAAATTATCAGTCAGTGCGGCCTTTACAACTATAATGATTGTCTCATCAGTTATCAGTAGCATGAGTCTAACTCAATTATCCTTTACTTTTATCATAATAGTTTTACATTGTCATCATGAGATAGCCAGCATCAAGTTTATAATTAAGTAAGAAGTTGATAACATTAACAATGAAATTTACAATTATTTTTAATGATATAAATGTATAATGTGCCACTTCTTGTTAATATTAGCATGATTGTAAATTGAAGAAATCATTTTAACCTCTGAAACAAATTTTAATCTCAAGGTAATAATTATTATTTTATCACAATTTACATTCACTAGAATTCAAACATATAATACTATCATACGTTTACATTTTTACTTAAAAAAGACTTTGTAAGTTTGTAAGACTTGGTAACTATAAGCAGATGTAAAACTTGTTATGATTTAAAAACTTTTTAATCAAACGAAGGTTTTTGTAGGTTACAAAATAGTTACAAGTACAGATTTTTAAATGGAATTGAATCGGAAATTTAACTAATGCAAATAATCTCCAATTTAAAATCCAAATGGTATTTATATTGGTTATAAAGTATTCGGTTATTTACAAGTCGTGTTAATGAATAAAAGTTGAAAATATATACGAGACAAAAATACATACCAAAGTCACTAAGGCAGAATGAAGACTTGTAGGACTACGGTTCACAATAAATGAATTATGAAATCGTTTTGTAAATAAACTATTATTGCCTGCAATACGGCAGTGATTGGCGAAAATTCGACGCGCCATGCAAATTGACATTACGTACTGTACTGCTAGTTTTAAAAAAATGAAAGTAGCAGTTTGAAAAAAAAAATCATTATGCAATGTTGTTTTTAATAAAAAATAGTTAAAGAGCTTTCATCATTTTAAAACTAGGAAACTTCGTCGTTTAATATTCTAAAGTTTTAAAATTATTTAAGTAGTAGTAGTAATTTCATCCATGGGACAGGCGAAGGAACTAAGCCTAGAATAATATTTTTTTAATGGCAATTCTCTTTTACGGTCTCTTATTGTTGTTGTTTAATAAAGCACAGGGATTTAGTTCAATGTAAAATAATATTTCTTTTGATTTTTAATAACATCTTTTAAGCCGGCCTCAAAAAAATAGGCATTTAAGCTTATTTTTAACTATAAACAATACATTAAATAGGTAGCTACTCAGATTAATGTAGTTACTTTCAAAAAACTAAAACTAAAAGTGAATAAATGAAATCAATATTTGGTTGGCAGGATATTCAATCATGAAGTAACTTTTTTACCTGCATATCCAGCGACCCTCTGATCAGGGAATTTATGAAATTGGTGGCCGAATGCTAAAATATGGTAAATTTTTTAACTTCGTATTTCTGGATTTTATATTACCATAATTTGCAGTGTCTATCTTCCGTCCCGTCGTATAATGTGTATGAAAAGATTCGTGAAACCCGTTAATTTTATACTGTAAGTAGGTATTATATAATGATGATTTTGTCGCCCCCCTTAGGCCCGCCCGGGGCAAGTGCTTCCACTTGCCCCCCCCACTTTACTCTGGTGGCACTAGTGGCACTACTAGAGGCACTACTAGCAGCACCACTGGCAACAAAGTCTATATCGTTATTTTTTCAAATGGTTATATTTTTGTCATTTCTTTATTATAGTTCGCCTTCTATGATTTTAAATATTTTTACAGTATCAATAATTACATACTATGAATGATTTATCTTTTTTTAGGATATATTAAAAGTATTGTCGCTTCAGTTAGTCGCAAGAGCGTCCATCGCACTACTACAGGGTGTCCGCCGGCAGATTTTATACTATGATAGGCAATAAAATAATAAATAATTACAAAATCAAACTCATTTATTAATTTTTGTACAAGGCATTAGTGCGGATTTCAATTTTTAAAAAAGACACCACTTAAATGTTGTCCGTCTTTTAGCACAAACTCTTGCAATCTTGCTCTCATACTTGAGAAAACTCTCTTGCACAAATATGGACTAATCGCTGCGATCTCACGTCGGATATTTTCTTGAAGAGACTGTATTGTTGTTGTTGAGTTGCAATAAACACGAGATTTGAGGTATCCCTACAAGAAAAAGTCGCATGGCGTCAGATATGGTGACCTGGGCGGCCAGTCAATGTCACCAAAGCGGCTTATTAATTTTCCGGGAAAAATTTATCTCATTTTGGCCAAGCGGTATGCCGTATCCTGCTGTAAATGTGTTCTGTTGTTGTATGCAAAGTGACGATGCAATTCCGGGATGAAAAAGGTGTCCATCATATGACAGTATCTTTCTGCAGTCAATGTTTCACGGTTTCCCAAAAAATAAAGCCCGATTATGCTCATAGCGGAAATCGCGCGCCAAGCTGTCATCTTAGGGCTGTGGAGAGGCTTTTGATGCACTTCTCTGGGGTTACTATCGCTCCAGTAGTGCATATTCTGTTTATTTACGTACGTACGTACGTTCTGTTTATTACGCAATGTGAAAATGCGCCTCGTCGCTAAAAAAATGTTTCTTAAACGACTTGGTGTCGGAAAACGCTCAAGAATGCGCTGGAAACAATTTTTCCTCCTAACATAGTCCTCTTCTTTCAATTGTTGGATAATTTGGAGCTTATAAGGATGATACTTGATATGCTTTTTTACAATTTTGTAAATTAACGTCTTTTTGATGCTGCGATCTTCCGGACAGATTTGTGATGATTTTGCATAATTTTTTCTCCTTACGCGATCGATGTTTTCCGGAGTCGCTACAGAAATGGAAGGCCCAGGTCGAACTTCTGTACCCACTTCAAAATCAACTGATTCGATGGACCTTCTTTTATTCTCCGGATATCAAAGCGTGAACAAAAACGTCGCCTCGCTATAGTCACAGAATTACCGTTTAAGAAGCAAGCGTCTACCGCGAAAGCGCGGTACGCTCCTGTCCACTGACTAATGGCTACTAAATATCCGCAACACTCACGCGTCGATTGCTACCTCGCTTCCCCCGCCCCTACCACTCTGACTCCCACAAACCTCATTCAAAGTGTAAAACTGCCGGCGGACACCCTGTATTTGTGGACTCATGTTGTGCATGCACCCTATCTATATCCCCTTGTTACATTATAATAAAATAAAACGCCATATAGGTATCAGGGTCTTTTATTGGTGATAATAAATGTTCTACGTGAGCAACGAAACCCGCCGTCCGTCGTAAGGCACTATCGAGACACGGACGATTCGGACGACGCCACGGCACACATTCGCGTGAAGCACCACACACAAAATAAAAATGTCATATACCTAGCTGTAAGTTGTTCGATGTTAAGTAAGCTAAGCAGTTTGTGAAATGGTACATTTTATATAAGTTTAATGTTATATGGTGGTTTACGTTTTGTATCCCATAGCGTCCAGTTGTTAGGTAGGTACACTTGAAGGAAACAGACATTAGTTATTTACAAAAGAGGTATCTACTTGGACATCAATATCATTTTAGGAACGTGTACAATTATGGACGACAGAAATGTAATGTTTTATTTACTATTGGTAGATATTTAACTATGAATTGAAGAATCGTCCGATTGGCCACCAACAAGCAAGCGACAATGTAAAACTTTATTTTATTATACACAAGTACTTGATTGATTGGTTTAGCAGTATCTTCCGATCAACCTTATTAGTATTCAATCCCAAAACCAGTGTTGTTTCTTTATTGTATTTGTACCTAATAACCACACATACATACATTGGCGGTCTTAATGCACTCTCATAGTGGGCGTTCCAGTTCATCGTACAATCATCACGCATGTACAATGATCAGCCACGCGGTCGTCGTTATGAATGGATGGCATTAGACATTAGAAGTGATGGAGCTTACAAAATAGGTTAGGGAAAGTTTTTTCGCATTTTATATGAAAATTAAAATTATTTTTTGATAAAGTTTATTTAGATTTAACTAAAGTATGTAAATACCATTTTGTTTGATAACTTTCTGCCATCTTGCAGGTAGGGTCATGATCCTATTGCAATAGATGGGGCTTCTGATCAAAAAATAGCAGTCCTCGCGAGACGTTAACCTGACACTGCCTAAAGAATTCTGAAGCGACCGAAACAGATGGAAATCTGAAGGTTCAAGGTCAGGACTATATTGCGGATGCATAAACACCTCCCAGCCAAACTCTTTAATTTGTGCTGAGTAGCAAAAGATGTGTGAGGTCTAGTGTTATCTCATGATGAAAAATCACACCCATTAATTCTGGCTGCTTTCTTTTAAATTCTTGCTTTAATGTCATCAGTTGTTCGCAGTGGAGTTCAGAATCGATGGTCCTGCCTGGCGGTAACATCTCATAATGAATAATGTCCTTCCAATCCCACCATACACAGAATCACCTTTTAGCGAGTTAACCCGGATTTCGCCACAGCCTGTAAAGCCTGACCGACCTTTGCCGATGACCTTTTCACACGTTCTTATCGTACATGATACAATTTTCATCACAGTTATCAGCTTCTTTAAAATTGGTTCGGCTTTCTTAACGCCTTAATAATGAATCACAAATTCATTAGGGTTCTTTCAGTGAGCTCGTTAGGTACCCAAATATATACTTTTTTTTGTACCTTACTTTTTTCAAATGCGCCAAGACTGTTTTGTGGTCAATCTCCAGTTCTTCAGTTATGTCGTAACTACCGACATGGTGATCTTGCTTCACTTTTTCAAAAATGGCATCCATTTTATCCTTAACAGAGTGACTGGAGCGACGTGCGTCTTTGACATCAAAAGTTTTGGACGGAAAACGCTTAAACCGAATTTGTGCTACTCTCACAGAAACTGCACTACGTACATAAACGTCACAATTTTTTTTCGTGGCTTGTGTTGCATTTTCACCTTCTTGGTACAAAATTTTAAAATGTATCGAATTTCTTCATTAGATTCGCACATTAAGAAAAACGAAAAGAAAATCACACATTTGCATAATTTGAATACGGAGTTAACTTCTTTAAAATTTAAAGTTTTTAATGATACCACCGAAAGCAGCCAGATTTAGCTAGAAAGAGTTTATTACAAGTTTATGCATAGTTAATGCGAAAAGACTTTTTCTCCAACCTAAGATAAGCCTTTAAAATATCAAACCGCACTATGATGAAACTCAAGCCACAGTGCACAAACGTCCATTAAAATTGACATTAGTCTAAAGCGACATTACCAATGCAAATTTTCAAAGGAGAATGTTTTCTTGGTACTTTATTCCGAAAAAATCTTACCACTATAAAGAAAATTATTATAGCATCTAGACTCAATCCATTATCTTTCATCCAAGTTTCAGGTCTGAAAGTTCCCCCGTTTTAATCCAGTAAAAGCCTGTTTAATTGTTAACTTTACAGACACAAAATGCTTGATTTGTTGTTAATTCTTCACTTTTAGGCATCCTGAATTTGCCTGTTTTGTGTATTACCCCAAAGTACCTTATAATAACTTAGCGTCCCTAGTAGACGAATCATATATCAATATTGTGAAAATCGAATTCATAATTTGTTTACTATTTGTTTATTATAATAAGCCACGCACTGAATAGACTCAAACCGGGCCAAATCTGCGTTAACGAGCTTCGTTTCATTTAAAATATCTCTGTAAATGAGATTTAGAGACCTGAAATAATAATAATTAATCGCAAATAAAAATATTAATTCCAATTTGTCCAAATAGATTGATTCACAGCATGAATTGGAATGTAACTTAGGGATGGGGTTGCCATAGATTTTCTTAATGCACTAATGTGTTGCTACATAAATTATAAAATATCCA